TCAATATGCATACATAACCAAGGTTTTAAAATGTAATGCATAATTCCATATAAATTTAGTATACAGCGCTTATAAAAAAAAACTGCATTTCCATAAATAGTTTGTATAAGCGTTTAAACTTAAAATTTTGAGAAAATTGGGTATTCATGCGTAATAAATAACGATTTCTCGCATGAAATGATTTTAATTTTTTTATTGTAATTTAAAAAAAGGATTAATCGTAGAAACTTGAAACATTCCGTTGCTACTTAAATGATCATGTTTGATACTCAATAGAATGAGAATTATCTGAAAATATTTAGACCAAATTTATGCTATAAATAAACAATTTAAATTTCTTGTTAAAAATGTTGTTAAAGCTTAGTCACAAAAATTAAAAATTCAATAACTATAACATATAAGATATATAAGTCAGATTTGTTATAAAAGTTTCAACATTAAAGTTAAAATTTTAACAAGGTATATAAAAATTTGTAAATTATTTTGAATTTTATAAAAATTTTAATCTTAATAGATAAAGATAGAAATTTCAATACATAAATCAATACATAAATTCTCATAAAAAATTTAATTGAAACCATTAAAGTCTAAGAAAAAGTTCTATCATATTTTTTCAAATATTTGTATTTGTAATCAAATTTTTATAAAATGTGTTATTTTTTTTCAAAACAACAATTTTAGTTTTTTCAATTTTATTCAAAATATTATTTGTGGGATTTGAAACATTTATGTTTACTGGTGTACATTTTCGTACATGGTATATTGATATATACATAATTTATATTATGATGACAATGCGGGCAATTAAATAAAACTAAACTAATAAATAATAAAACTATTATTTCCTGAAAATTTGGGAGGGGGTGAATCCCTAGAACCCTTTGTATACGCGCCTGGTATTACCTAAAATTGACAATAACTACAATTCAATACAGTAATAAAATTATGATTTTAAAAATGAAGTCCTATTTTACAGTTCACTCTGGAAATAAAATTACTAATAAACTTCGTTTTAGTAATCAAAATAAATTTCCATTTCAAAGATACGCAGAGAACCAATTAAATATGCAATATTTTACGCTGTACTGATCTTAAAAACCGATACAACAGTTTAAGCGTTACACAGTGTGTAGTTATTTATTTGGATGGCATTGTTAGTTTTTGTAACGTTACAATATAACACGGCTCTGATTGTTGATAAAGTTTTAAATGTTCAAATACGACCGTCCCTACGCATACATCACGATGATGTGAATAAATTCGGAATCGATACGCAATGGTCATTGCGCAGCTTTGATTGCTGTGATGACTACATAGTACGATTTACCTAGGTGTCCAATAAATCGCCCATCGTAGCATTACTACAAACTGTCGAGAGAAGAGTGTCAAAAACGACGTTTGCGAATCAATCCCAGTCGTGACGTCTGGCCGACATTAGTTACTACACATCGCTCGAAAACATATTTACGATGGTACCTATTGCGTTATTATTATACGTTATGCCAAATCAAACTCACGGTCGGAATAAATCGGTGGCAACCGTTTACATCAGTCGTCCGGAAAAACTCGCGATTTCACGATTTGTGGCGCAGACCGACGTTGTATAAAAAAAAAAAAAACGTTCACACACGTGTGCACGCCATAATACGTCATTATAATATATATGTATTGCCCGCGTGCGTGTGTAGTGTACCGAGATGTATAAATGAGCAATGGATCGGACCAAAAACGATCGCGGTGAGGTGGTTGGCGGTGGTGGCGGCGGCGGTTCCCAGGTGGTACCTACGGTTGTCAACGCGGCAAAATGATATATCACGCGGACGGTGACAAGCAATCAATTCAAAGTTATAGAATCCCGACGCACCCACCTCCACGCCCGCAGGTGCAGCAGTCTTTTTCGCCGCCTGCCCCCGGAATGCCATCATCTTCGCACCTCAGCCCCGACGCCTCGCCCGAATCCTATCACCGTCCCGAGGACTACAGGGGTGGCGGTCGGTGGCGGTCGAAAGTGAATTATGAATTAATAGGCGCACGGGGGATTTACAAGTTTAAACGGAACTTTTATATATAATACGTCATATATAATATTATACGTTACGCCGTGCCGAAAACAATATATATCAACGCCAATTAAGGGGGACACGCGGCGGGGCGATGAGTTATTTATGGGACAACGTGACCGACGGTCTTTATTTTTGGTCACGAACGGAGCCCACATAATTATACCCTAGACCGGTGACGGTGTCGTACATTTGTTCCGGTTTTTCGTCCGACAAACACAATGATAATAACAATATAATCGGCGTAGAGGCATAGACAATAATAATATTATTGTTTTACCTATTACATGTTTTTTACGCCCTCAAAACGCCGACCGACTGTCCGCGGTTCGTATAAACATGAGTACATCGCACACGCTGTAGTTGTTGTGCATACAATCTACAGTAATAAGCGATACATATTTTTGATTTTACTTTGATTATAATATTGTTATAATTCATATTAACAATGGAAGATTGTTTTTTACGCTTTTTTTATTTATTATTTACGAGGTTCTCGTGAACCGTGAACTGAAAAAAACCAACGAGGGTGTAAAACAACATTATAATTTTATAAATACAACGCATTATTGTGTAGATTATTGTTGTCATCGATTGGCTTGTATGATAAGATAATATGTGAAAATGTGCATTGCAGGTATTTTTACAATTTATACCAATATACCTATCACAGGTTAGTTATATAGCGAAAGTTTCAAACACAAATTAACTGAACTAAAATATAATTTATGTCTTAAACAGTTAGATTTTCTCTTTTTTTATAAATTTCATAACGTTAAAGTTTTAAGGGTTGTTTTTGTAACAAAAAAAAAAATATACCTAAACGTGGTTTCTTATACACCATTAAGTTACGTTTTAATCATATTAATTAATTAAGATTGTTAGCGACATATCTATTATAATGCTCGTTTACACTGTTCGCTGTGTTTGGAAGACAAATTAATGATATTAAAACTATAAAACAATGTTCGGATTCCCAATCGTAAATCATATACCTACTATCTATAGTATTATTGAAATTATGTGGTAAATTAAATAATCGAAGTGACATAAAAGCCTGCATATCAACATTATTTTCGTTGTATTTACAGTGCAAATGACAAATTTAATCGAGACATTATCAATTTAACCGCAATTCAAAATATAATGAACGAATAAATGGTCATCCGTAATAAATATAATATGTATTTAATATATTTTAACTTGAACAATTTCAAGCAACAGAGTAAAATATGTCATATTTTATATATTTTTATAGACTATTAATAAATGTATGGTCATATCCATTATCCATATATTATTTATTTTAAATTAGACGAGCACATTTTATAAAATACCATTAATATTTAAAGCTTATTTAGAAAACAGACATTTCTCTGTACGATCTGGCTTCCCTTTGTCCGAAATATTGCCAATTCACGTTGGAGTACCCCAAGGATCTGTAACATCACCTCTACTTTTTAATCTGTTCACCTCCGATCAACCTACCACCTCTTCCACTACAACTGGAGACTTCGCCGATGATAAGGCTCTTCTAGCCATTCACTTCGATCCCGACACAGCCTCAAACCTCTTACAAAATCATCTCGATCTATTATCAACCTGGTATAAAGATTGGGGAATAAAGTTAACAAAACAAAATCCATTCATTTTACATTTACTCTCAGTCCTCAGGTCAATAGTCTACCCTCCTGTCTATTTCAACAATGTACCTATCCCATCCGCCCAAAACGTTCGTTACCTAGGCCTACACCTTGACCGCTTAACTTGAGCAACACACACCCATATCAAAAGACTTTCCTTAAATAACCGCTCTCACCTTCTACATTATCTACTCACATCACAACACATCAACTTAAAAAACAAGCTTCTTTTATGTAAATTCCTACTCAAACCGATCTGGGCATATGGTATTCAATTATGGGGTGCAGCTAAACCGTTCAATCTAAACAAAATTCAAATATTTCAATCAAAATGTCTCCGCCAAATAACCAAAGCCCCATATTATGTATCTAACGACACTCTACATAGAGACCTAGCCATTCCAACAGTACAAAATGTTGCAAAAACTTTCTACAAACGTTTACAACCATCACAATCCTTTGATTTCTGAACTATCCACCAAATCTATTCCTGGTGAACCCAGAAGACGTCTCAAACGTACCTGGTTTTGTGACCTGCTAAATTAAAATTGCTATAATTCATACTCCTCCTTGTTATCTATCTCATTCTCTCTTACTAACATTTTAAAAACAAACTCCTAACATTAAGTGTCTCCAATGGGTGGCTTCTTATCTTCTGTCTTTCAAGCCATGTTATTTACTATCTCCATCGTATACGCTTATTGTAAAATTTACAGATTGTGTATTTAATAATAATTGTAAAAAAAAAAAAAAAAAATATTTAAAAAAACTCAATTAAAATTTAAATTATATTACATAACCGAAGAAAAATAATCGTAATCAAATACCAATAATTTTTTTTTATAATAGTCTATTAAGTTAATCAAACTATCCATTCATAATATGACCACGATGTTTATAACTTAGAATATAATTTTCATTAAAACAAAATTTCTCTAATAAACCTATATTCTTACACATCAATTAGAGTTTGAGTGCTTATTTAGCACCCATACGTCATTATAGGATTACCAATTAAACGGATAAATAAATAATATTTTCTTGATACTTATATTGTTATACAGACAAGCCACGTAACAAATACAGACTATAAAATAGCCAACAATTTGTATGACTATTTGATGATATACAAAAACTATTAGCACTAACTTCATATGAATATAATATAGGATTTAAATTTCTATATCAAGCGTAACACCCATATTTTTGTAAAAAACCACTATTTTAAGAACTATTTAATGTTATTTCAGAATATTTAAAATATAAATATAAGATAAATACATTATCGATTACTTACCGACAACGTTCAAGTATCCGATTTGGGTTTTAGCGGTGATCGTATTTATTTGACACATGTAACGGCCTCGATCTTCTTGCTGCACATTGTTAATATGTAAGAACCACGTACGGTGCTTATCGTGGGACACAGTAATTCTCGGATTTCTAGTTATCACATGACTATTCACGGTCAATATGGCTGACTGTTCAAAGTGCATCCAAGCTACCTGTGAACCAAAATATTGGAACAAATAATATTAATAAAGCTATAGAAATATTTTGTGACATGTTAATAATTATTGTATTGTGTAATATATGCTTTCAAAGTCATCGACAATAAATAATTATTATTTTTCAGTTCAGTGAGTTTAAAAACAGCCATTTGAAAAAGAATGATATAGCACCTTTTTACTTTTAAGATAATGTAACATTGACAGAATGATACTAATCGAAATTCGATTTTGAAAAGTGGACGTTTTAGGACTAGTAATTGGTGTTTTTTTTCTGACAAGAACGTTTTGACGACACTTTTAATACAAAAAAAGTTGTTCCTTATCCTTGGGAGATATATCATTTAACTTAAGAGGTTATGACATTTTTCTGATAAATAATTGTCCATCAAAAACTATAATCAAAAGTTTAAAGGAGTTTTTTAAAAATAATAATAATAACAATAATTTCGTATCATTAAGACATAATATTATCTATCTATTATTATGAAGCAAGATTTTTTGTGTCAATCATCTTTTGTGATTTGGTTAAATAAATAAAGAGTTATATACACTATGTTACTTGAAGTAATAAAACAATATCAAGCATAATACATAAAATGAATATATCTATATTACCATCGATACATTTAATAAATTATTTTATTATAACAACTTTAATGTAAAACAATTCTACATGTTATATAATTAACATGAAAGTTATACATTATCTTATTAAGTCGCATGTTTTATTCAATAGAGTTCATTTTTTTTTTTGGTGCAAAATTACATTTACCAAAGTTTCTATACTTAATATATATTACATGAATTATTATTAATTTAAAAAATAAATGTATACATTAAATTAAATGCCGTAAAATTAAATATCAAATATTATTATTCTAAGAAAAATTCCATAGGACATATCTATGAAAACAAAATATAGATATTAAAATCGAACGTTGAAAAAAAATAAATCGAAGACTCTCTAAGCTTTATACATGATACATAGAATAAAACTGATTAAATTAAACCCATTTTTTTCATATTTCCATGGTTTTGATAAAAATATTTGTATGATAAAATTCTTAAGAAAGTTAATACTAGACTGAGATAAGTATGTTTCGATAAAACAAAATGGTGTTTACATCACTGTTTTGTTGTATTATAAAAATGTATTTACCAAGTTCTTTCAAAAAGTAGAAAAAATTAACCGTAAAGTATTAAAAAAAAAAAAATTGTTGAATGAATAATAACAGGTAGCATGGTAAATAAATAAATAAAAATCATCATAATATAAATAAATACGGTATGATAGAACTTTTCTAAAATAAAAGTGTGCAATGAAAAAAATTAATAAAAAAAAAAAAGAATTGTATTTTGTTTTTTTAAACATAAAAGTATATACGTATTTGTATTTTTATTTTATAATAGTGCGCCTGTCCTTATTTATTATTTATAAAATGAACAATTTTAATTATTATATATTACTATAAAAACTAATATGGTTTTATTTAGACTTAATTACTAAATAAAAATATATATTCATAAAAAAAAAAAAAAAAACATAAAGAATAATAAATCAGTAACCTTTTTTGATTCTTAAGTTAATGTTTAGTAATAAATAATTATATAATACAAAATAGTTATCTAAAAATATCTTGTACTACTTTAATACAACCAAGTACTTTGACAAATAAAATTAATTTAATAACTTTTTATTTTATATTAATAAATAATATTATTTTAAAATATTAATTTCTTTAATATTGATTTTAGAATTATTATTTATACGTTAGTATGATTATTTATTTTTAAACTTCAATCAGAAAAGTTAATTTTCTATACCATATAGTTTTTTTTTTTTTATCATTACTTTTTCTTTTTTAACCAAGTATTCATAATAGTTATATCATATTATTATAATTTCATAAAAAAAAAAAAAAAAAAAAAAAAAAATGATAATATTTAAATAAATATGATTTAAATATATGACTTGAGATTTGCGAGAGATTTTTTTTTTCTCGACACATGTATTATTTATTGAGGCAACCCTAAAAAGATGTTCACGAAACAAATTAACGACACATATTGACGAAAATAAATCAATCTAAATGGAAATAATATTACAAAATACCTAAACAAAAATACAAATAGTGGTTCGGAAATATTTTATTTTTTGACAAATATAAACCATGCTTGTTCAGTATACACATGATGTCAAATTTTATATTTTTCCATTGTATTCTAGATAATATTTTTTTTTATTTTAAGTCTCAGTAGTATTTTAATAAATCATTGCGAACCAGAAGTAAAAGACTCAGTAAGTTGATTTAACATTTAGAATTCTGAAAAAATAAAGATAAAAACATTTGATCTACAGTATTTATTTTATCATTATTATAATTATTATAGCTATAAATTATTATTATTATGACTCTTATCATTATTGCAATGGAGTAAAAGGAATAGTACTTAAGATAAAAATAAGTGAAAGAGTAGAAATTGGTTGGTTAAACTAATGTACAGCGCCCGCGGCCCTGTAGCTACTAAAAATAATAATCAAAAACGAAGGGCAACACCGGCCAAATTGGCCAATTACTCTCAGGTGGTGCCCTTCTCTACCTTAATATCGCAACTTTTGCATAACCTTTATGATATTGAATCGGTTAGTTGTCTTACGCTAGTCGAAAACTTAAACATTTCAAACATAAGAAAAGTATAGTTAAATAAGTTAGATAAATAAAGTATGTTACTTGTCAACAATACTTCAGTTTAACCGTCAGAATATTACACAAATATTCTGATATAACGTAAATATTAAAAGGTTTCAGAGAGGTATTTTTAATTGGATAAAAATAATCTAATACCACTAACATTATAACCTCTTACACGTATAATCTATGTGCATTTCCAAATTTATTAATTCATATTCACTGTTTATAATACTTAAAAATAATATGACTAAATGAACATTTAATTCTGATTAAAATAATAGTTGAAGCAATTGAAATTAACAGAAAAAATATCAATACGTTTTTACTGATATAAAATCTCCCATATTTAAAACAAGTAAATAAAAAGTTGTAAAGTAATAAGTATACAACAAACAATGGTGTTGATACATCAGTTAGGAAATAAGTAATAGTTAAAAAAAAATTTTAAATACATACATTTTCGATAAATACTCAATTTTGTTAAATATTTAGTGTCGTAACTATATTCATAAATTTCATACATCATGTACTTTGAATTTGACAATCGTTTTAATGTCCAATAAGCTTTTGAAAACAGACTTAAACCTAAATAGACTAACCTACGTTTTATAACGAACACAAATCACATAAGGTGGGTTTTATCAATGTACAAGAAAATGAAAATAATTTTAAATCAAAATTGATGGCCACAGTATGAGTTCGCTTAGTTATTTGAGTCGTGTGGTAAAGAGATTACCTATAAAAAAAAGGGTGTATTCGTAAACTTTAAATTCGACACACGTGCGTTATGCTAGACGAGAATTATACAGCTGTGCAAAACAGAACGAATATCTCTGGCATTTTTGAACGGATTTTTTCACCCTTATACAGCTCCAATTGCCCTTTTTCTGGCACACGCCTCAAATGTTCACCATGTCTGTGCATAATACCGACTTTGGTTTTTCAAATGCAAACATCCGTAACGTGACACTCGAGAAAAATGTTCATACATACATAAATATGAGTGTGTTTATTTTTGGGATCAAAGGCCTCAAGAAGGTTAAATTTTGAAGTATAATATAACATAGGACAAAGTTCTGAAGTATTACGAATTTCAAAAAACCAAAATGTATTAAAAATCGTATACTACAATACTTGAAAATAGAGATTTAAAATATTATTTCAAAAAGTAGTTTTTATAAATTAAATGATGTGGAGCATCTGTATTTATTTTTATTTATTCAAAATCAAAACTAAAATAAAATACGTTTATAAATGTTTAAAAAATGCATGTGGATAGATATATTTTATATTTACAAAGATACACAAGTTATTACTATACAATATACAACGTAATTAGAAACCATTTTTTACAAACATTTATTGTTAATGCATTTTATCGTTTAAACCTTTACCAAAAACAGATAAGTTGAATTTAAGTACTATAAAATACGAAGTACGTAGTGTTTTTGACTTGTGAAAATATAATTTTAGCGTGTTTTTTTTTTTTTTTTACAATAATATTGTATTTGAATGAACGTGCTTGATGGATTAACATTATTTAAATAAAAATAATAACTTATAGTTGAAAATATAATAGTGCAATAATATTAAGATAAAACTAGATGATGTTTCAAAATAGAGAGCTTAATAGAAAATAAAAATAAAATACATTTATTATTTGCATAAAATATTCCCTTAATTTATAAATCACATAAATTATATTTGTATATAGATATTGTATTAATTCGCTTATATAAGTATTGAATTTGACCTCTACGGATTAAATCAACTACACAGTTACTATACTTACATTACATTAGTGTTCGTTTAAAATAAAAGTAAATGAGTAGCTGTTGATATATTTTCAATCGTATATTACTGCATTCATATCGTATCAGAATAAATTTAAAATTTCTAGTAAGTCAATATCACTAAAGTCACCAAAGTATTATGAATTAACGTAAAACGCATAACAATAAGAAATGAAAATATTTGTTATTTTTTTTCATCTCTATAACAGTATACAATGTTAATAAATAAAGCCTCTTTGGTTCGAGATGGGCGTCGAGAGAAAATACAAAAACTAATTAAACTTAATGTTAAAACAAACATTTAAACTTATCATAACAACTGGGAAAACCACGGAAGAACCAACGATTAATGTAATTTATTGCATTCATTATGCGATAAGAAAATATCTAAACATAGTTAGCCGATGATGTGGAATATAAAGAACTAGGTAACAAACGTCTACAAAAATAGAATTATACGTGTGAATTTCTACTATTCATAATAAACAAATGCATTGTTTTTTTGTTTTTAAAAAAGTTCGACTGAAAAATAATAAATATTATACACATAAAGAAATTTAAAAATATGTATCACTTTATTATACTAATTTCTTTCAAATAAACAAAACGAAAACTCGATTAAGTATACATTGATTAAAATCTACTTAAAATAATTACGTTTTCTACTTAAATGGAATAAAAAAATAAATAATATTTAATATTATAGAAACGAAGTATGGTCAGAATTCGTATTTCATTTTTGTGACGAAATGTATTTTCCTTGTGGTAAATTTGATTGAAATAATATTACTTTCCATTCGAAAAATAACATAGGTATACTCATAGTTGATTCGCCAAATCCAGATAATGTGACAGTGTGTGAAGAGAGTGTTTTTTCTTCGCTGAGTTCAATCAAAATAATGGATCCTGGTTTCGGTGAAGGGGGAAAATCATATTTATATATATATATATATACATGTACCTATCTGTAATATTAAGCACGTATTCGATTTCCGATGGTAAAAAAAATATCAAACCTTGTATGATCCCAGATTTCTGACGGAGCACCCTAGCTTTACACTACGTCCTGCAGGTACTGTCACGTTCACTATAGGTTCCGTAAACTCAGGATCACCCGCAATCACTGAAACAACAAAATATGTTACGTACTTATTACGAGTATTTTCAATATTTTATTAAAACGATTCTAAATATAACATTAAGGTTTTATTCCTTAGAAAATTAATGTAGTAAATACCCAGACACAATAAATTAATTTAAATGTTTCATGTATTTCTGATGAGACATAAAAATAATATAGTTATTTTTATTCCACTTTTGAATAAATATAGCATAAAAATGTGAAATGCAATCGCAAACATAATGAAATATACACCAAATTTTAATCTTTACGTAAGTCATAATTTTACTATTTAATTAAACATGTTTTTACTTTATTTTAAGAAATCGCACAAACAACCAGGCGCGTAAACAAAAAAAATATTTTTTTTTTGGGGGGGGGGGGGGTTTGATTGTACATGTTCGTTTATGATATATACATAATTCATATTACGATGACAATGCGAACAACTAAATAAAACTAAACTAATAAATAATAAAACTATTATTTGCTTAAAATTCAAAGGGGGAGTTGAACCCCTAGAACCCCCCTTTGTATACTCGCCTGAGAACAACTAATTTCAAAATAAGACAATATTACCATAATACTTTTACAGAATATTATATGGTATTTATATAATTTATTTTAATATATTAGGTCCTCAATTAATTTTATTTTATTTTTCAATTCTATTTTACGTAAATAATGAAACTTCTTGAAAAAATAATTTACATTAAAAGAAAGTTCTAAGTAAATAACAACACCCATGAAACTTGACGAACTTATGAACTTATTAACACAAATATAACTGAATAGACATTTCCTGCGTATATTATACAATAGAATTACGTGTTAGAAATATATACGTCCTAATTATTTATACTTTACAATAAATAAACTTGAAGTAAAATAAAGTTTTTTTTTTTTCAAAAATAATTTTTCACTGTTCTCTGAATATCTAATAATATACTTAAATAGTCACAAAAGAAAACAAGTATTCAATTTAAAATACTACACTTAACAAAAAAATAATCAAATTTCATGAAAATTGAGTTTAAGTAAAAATTTAAAATAGTTCTAAAAAAGTGACTTCAAACCGAATAAAATAATTATTTTTTTTTTAAGATTAAAAATAACGAATAGATCCTTGAGTATACTCAAACATACATTTCGAGCTTGTGAATTACTATTATTACATAAATCTAAATTGAATTAATTTAAACATCATACAATTTGTTGAATTGAATATTATTAACCATCCTGTTATCCATTCGATACATAAAAAAATTACTTGGCCTGAAGTGGTGGTTTGCTCAAAAAATTGCATCATAAAAAGAGAAATTAATTTATATTTATGTATTATGTATAATTAATTATAATTTATAGCCTTTTTACTTTAACCTTCAACTTAACTAAAATAATATATTATTATTTTACTAATATAAATACAATGATAAATAATGTTATTAAAACCCCTAACTAATGTCTCTAATTAAATGTTGATAATTTTTTCTTACATACACGGGACATATTATTATGGGCAGATTATTTTTATTTTGCTTTTTGGTCTTGCATGACCCTGGTGATTTTTGATTGAACACAATAGTTTTCATAGTTTTAATCTAGAAAAAAAGTTTTTATAAAGGATAACACGTATTCCTTGCTATTAACATTATTATTATTTGGTATTTCATATAATTTAATATACACAATGCCAATAAATCTATATTGAATATATACAAACAAATTTTAATTCTAATTTTTTTTTAATCAGATAAAATAAAAAGACTAACCGAAATATAATTCGATAAGAACGTTAAGTTTCGATAAAATAGTGACTATAGTATTTTTACCGAGAGAATCTTAGAAATACTCAAAATCATTTAACAAATTACAGCCTAATGAAGATATAAATTACTCAATAAACTTCTATTTTTTCATAAGCCCTCTCTAGTATCGAATATATTTTAAAAATATCACAACCAATTATCGTTTAAATAATTCAATGAACCAAACGATTATAAAAATATTTTTTCTAGTATGGATTCCTGTTAATGGGAAATTAAGAAACTAACGAAAAATCTAAACGAGCTGCAGATAAATCTAATATAATTATGCTCTTATCTTAAAGAACACGTATTACAAAATTATATAGCTATAAATGTTACGATAAAATCAATCACATTGTTGAATGGTAAAACCTTAAACCACTGATTTCATTTACAAATTAATTAACTTAAAGAGTTCAAATAGTCTATCCTGCAATGAACCAAATAAATCATAATATTCAGAAGAAAAGTGGTTATAAATAACTACCAAGGAAGTTAAATAAGGACTACATTTATACACGGACACATATATAAATATTCAGCTTACGGTATACTTTTCACAGTGAAATACGTCATACTTATAAATGCCATAGATGCTATAGTATTGATTTCCAGAAATCTACAAGAAATCCTTATGATTCAGTTAAAAACCTACTCAAATTTATAAAAAAAACTTATTTCATTAAATCTATTAACATAATTTTTTTTTTTAAGTTTTCCTGACATACATAATTTAAACTATTAACATAGTTACAACAAAAATATAAATAAAAAATATAAACTGTATTGGTAAACAATCTCGTTGAAATGTAATAAACACGATATATATTATACATATATCACATAAGACATTTAGTTTAAAATCATTAAAATATTTATTTTATATTGCTTACAAAAGTTCCATACGTCACAAAACAATAAAGTATAAAATTATGGCAATATGGATTCTTGATTTTCGTAAATCGACTTTGCCTAACTCAGTAAACCCAAAATACAGTTAATATATTTAAAACATTACTTCAATACATTAATATAGTTATATAATTAACGTGCGAGTAAAATATGCATCTCCAAAAATAATAAGGAAGTTAAAGGATGAAAACATAATATGTTATTTTCCGTGATTTCCACTGAATAGTGCATTTTACATTAATAGTGGAATACCACGTAGTAATAAAGTATTTCTATAATCTGAATATTTTATTAACAAATTACTACCATACCTACTTCTCATTGCTAAAACTCTTATAAATATAAGTAAAGCACCAGCTAGTATTAAACTGAAATACTATACTGACTATTTACTTCTTTTTGTAAACTATTACTGGCCGTGGACTTTGTCATAACCACATCGCCATGAGTACTTAATCATTCCTAGGACTAGTTACTTTTATATAACAGTTAGCTACTTGTTGTTTGATTTATTGTTTAAAGTATTAATAAATTATTGTAACTCATTAGTACTTCAAAATACAAGTGTTTGTTTATAAACTATTAATTCTTCTCACAACCACCTCAAGCCGACATGGAACGTGCTACGTTGTTAAATAATTAATATGACAATGATCACAATATCCTACACAATGATCACTACATTTTTGGCGGCTCGAAGCTAACATAAAACTTATAATAACTTAAGACAATTTTCCTTATTATTTATAAAAATACAGATTTAATGTTTGAGGAAACATATTATATACATTTAAAGTAATTAGTTTTATTGAAAATTTTAGAGATCAGAATATTATATTGATTTTCACAAATAGTAATTTTTTTTAAATGATAAAAAGTTTTCCATTGAGTACGAAACGCTATAAATTATAATATATAACGCTTTTGGTATATAACATATTATTTGCATTACAGAGGAATATAATTTGACCGAAAACAGTAAATAGAAATAAATTTACGCTGTATATAATATATTATGCGTATTGCAAATTGCGTATATAGCTATATAATATTATAATAGTTGAACCGTCGAAATTCGACACATTTAAGGCAATAACATAAAGACGCATCTATATATTATTACGTAGATATAAATTTTTTTTTGGAAACCACAATATTATAGTATACCTGGTTATATATTTATAAAAAAGTTATTAACAGTCGGTTATTATATATAACGGGAATACGGGATATTCATATGAAACATTATCGAGTTAATAAATGTATCGTATGACTAGTGATGAAAAGGAATTGCTTATAGGTAGAGAAACAAATGCACATGTTATCAACGTAATCTTTAGGCGAAAGCATCACGTATGAAAATCGCGCTAATGACACGAGACGTGTGTTTTACGCTAATCCTATCAGAAAGCGATTAGACGATTCGGTCATAACGGTTTGGCGGCAAGAAGGAGGTGCAGGGAAAACGAAAAAACGAACCGAGATAATACGAAATCGAACGCTAAACAGTACGCAAAAGAAAAACCTGGAGTGAACAATAAATGCTTTACATATTTTAATAAACGTGGATGAGCAACCCACTACGTAGGTGTAGAGGTGGTGGCGGCGGCTGAGTACCAGACCGGGTGATCTCGTGGGCCCGTGTGTGTCAGTCACGCAGCAACACATGTGCGACATATGCATCAATCTCGCACGAACGCGAAATGAGGAAGACGCCACACATTATACAGCAAAAAGCGGAGAAAAAAAAAATGCCGCGGAACAACGACATTTGTGTTGTATTATTCAACCACGTATCCGCAGTGTCCTTCCCCTCCACACACACACACACGCGCGCGCGCGCACACGTCACTCGGTGCGGTTTTGCCTTGTTGATTCCTCCCATGGTTTAATATAGCATTCATCAAATAATAATAATAATAAAAAAAATATACGTACCTAAACCGTATAAATCGTCAACATCGTCAACAGTGTATATTGTATATAATATTTATTATACATTTATGATATATATATATAAATATATATATCTGAATAAAACAGCGGGAGGCGTACACCTTAATCGATTTACGTTCGCGGTGCTATTATTGTTTTATATCTGTGCACCAGTGTTTTGCGCACATTGTTGTCCGCGTAAAAAGTGATTTGTTCCAATACACGAGTATCACGCGGCACTTAGAAAAAACAAAACAATATTACGCTGCACATGTAGGTGCTACAGACACCTAAAACGCACGTCAACAACGACCTCGATGTCGATGAGATTTTTCGAAAATGATCCAA